TGCAGTCTTCAAGGCAACTGCTAAAAGCACGTCTGAGAGCCCTGTTTTGACAGATAATCCTCAAGGCACTTGATTAAAACAAGTATTGCTTTTATAGTTTCATTTAGCATACGAGTTTCATCTGCTTCAGTTTCCTATAAAACCTTGACATCTACAATTGTCTCTGATTCTCCAACTGCAGTAAATTGTAAAACAGTTGTGTAAGAAGTGAACGCATGATTCAGGTATCCACCTTCGATCACTTGGAACCCAATCTGGTGCAGGGATTCGTTGAGTACTGCAACCTTCTCCTCCTGGAACCCAAGACTTTGATTTTTCTGAAAGGTATTGATTGGAAATTGCAGCATCAAGATTGTGAACTGGTAGGCTAATAACAGAAAGGTACTGCCATAACAAAACAAAAACAGTTTAGGGAAGAAGCCATTTTTGGAAGGGCAGAGCTCATTTCTTTGGCAAAAGTCCTCCATAGTGCTTCAATTCCGATCCCAACCTTCACTTGGCTCTTTTCTTCCTTCATCACTGGCTCACTACTATGAACATTAGAATATCAATAAGTACAAATTTATAATAGCTTAAAGGGACCAAATGACCCTGTGGCATCTTTAGTTGCATGGACAATTATTGAACCAAGATGCCTAGGCTCTTCTATAACGTTATACCATATTTTTCTTAATTTCTGCATTCACGACCTCTTAATTTTTGCACTTCCTTTAACTTTTTCATACAAGTGCAGTTGCATAATCTATGGAATTAGGTTTTCTCTACCCTCTTTTTTTTTTCTTTTTTCACTAGAGTCCTCTTCTGTCCTTTCATTTCCTTTCCTTTCCTTCAATCCAAATAGTGCCTTAATTTTGATGCCCTTTTCCTCCGTTTCTCAATTTATAGTTAACTTGTTAAAAAAAAAAATCAAATCACTCGAGTGCTACTCAAGATTAGCTCAATAACAAATAGTTTGAGTTTGGTGTCCTTTAACAAAAAAAAGAAACAAACTAAAATACAATTTCAAATTTATAAAAACAAACCATGACTTTTTTCAACAGCCGTTATCAGACTTTTGTTGATTTATAAATCTAATCCCAAAATTAACCCCAAAAGCCGGCAACTCTTGAGACAATCCCAAAGACTTATAACCCAACCCAAACCCAACCCCAACCCCGATGTGGGATAAACTACCTATAGGGGATAAACAAACCATGACTTGCTTCAACTCATTTACATTCTTAATTCTTGGCTATGTACACCAAATTTTACACACTATGTATCAGTGTACCCTTGAGATTCACTAAATAAAATGTAATCCAAACGTATATTTCACACCTGAAGAGTTATAGATTACGATTATTTAAAGCAAAAAAGTGTTTATTATATGTACAGTACATTAGAAAAAGTATTATGGTGTTATATAGTAATTTCATTTTTCAAATGATGGCGTATCCAAACACTCCATTATCACTGAATAGTGTTCTACTCCCTTCGCCCAAACGAGCCCTAAACTCCCCCTCTTTTTGATAGGGCCTGAAAAGCCCCCTTGGCTGGGAAAATCAGAAAGAAACGTTGAGGTTTAGAGCAGCAAGGTTCTGGGAGCAAAAACATTTCTTAACTTGAAGGAGGAGATTAAACAGAGGGATTTCATCAATGGTCTAACTGCAAACAAAATACCCACCTCAAAAAGCAGATTCTTGGTCGACATTGATGGTTTTGTTCTTCAGAAAACCAGGTTCTTTGTTGATGTTTCTTCTCATGCCTTTTCTATTTCGGAATGCTTTGTTAGTATCTTTTTACCAGTTTATTATGCAATTATACATTCAATGCCTTCGATGCCCATAGCTATCTGCAAAAGAGCAGAAATCCCTTCTACTTTTAAGCCTCAAGATTGCACAATCTCTCCTGAGCTGCTGCTGTGTATATTGTGAAATTTGGAAAGAAAAAAAGAGAACCCAGATGGCTGATCCTCCAGAAAAGAAGGTGCAAAGAACCCCAGATGGTGATAGTATTGATAGGTTGAGTGCACTTTCGGACTGTGTTCTGCTCCACATCCTTTCACTTTTGAAGACAAAAGAAGCTGCAGCCAGCTCAATTCTGTCCACGAGATGGAGAAATCTTTTTGTTTCGCTACCTGATATTGATTTATGTTTCTGTGTGGATGATGATGCTTCTGACCGTGATAGACTGTTTTATCAGTTTACACATTTCTCTAATAGAGTGATTGAACAACGAAATACGGCTCCAATCAGAAAGATTCGACTCCGCGTGGAGCATTTTGTTGAAAGGTACCGTTTGGCTTTTGAATCATTGTTGATATCTGCAGCTGCTGCAATTTCTACTTACAGTGTCGACCAACTTCGTATTTCGGTTGAAATGGATACAACTGAGAAATTTTCTGTACTTTTTCCACCTGGAATTTTTTCATCTGAAACTATAGTTTCTTTATCACTAAACCTTGACGTGGGTTGGAATGTTCCTGATTTTGTTTGGTTGCCAAATCTCAAGTATCTTTACTTGATGCGATTCACATTGGTAGATGAAGATTCTATTCAGAGGTTTCTTCAAGGTTGCCCTTTGCTTGAACACCTGATATTAACAGTGCAACCTTTCAGCTATGCGAGTGAGAGTGAAGAAAGCATTGAAGTCGAAGTTCTTCATATCTCGAGTCCCTTGTTGAAAGTCCTGGTGCTCTGTTGGAATGAAAAAGTTGAACTAGAGTTCACTGTTGTTGTGAAGTCAGAAAATCTTGAGACTTTGGTATGTTCCCTCGAGGGGCAGCATAAAGTTATCGTAGATGCCCCAAATCTGAAGTCCTTGAACGTTGACGGTCATGTACTTGAAGTACACATAATTCAGAGCCTGGTATCTATTGATAAGGCAGTAGTACGAGCTGAATTTCTGCATAATGTGACAAATCTAGGTGACTTATTTTTACGTGTTCAGCATGCTTTTGAGTTTATTAGTGGGTTGCAAAATGTGAAATCACTGAATTTGTCAGAGAACATTTTAAAGGTATGTTTTCTCTTTTCTGTCTTCTTTAATTTGGGTTGGCTTCTGAGCTTTTCCTTCAATTTTTAATAGAAGAACTGGAACTTTGTTCTTAATTAATTCTTCTTGTTATATGGATGAAGGCTCTCTATTTTTCTCAACCAGCATTGCCAACTTTCAGAAACTTGATCAAGCTGGAGCTTGAACCTGTTTATTGCCATTCTTTTCCTCGTAGCTGGATCTTACAGGTGTTATCAAACTTATTTGAAAGTTCCCCTTACCTTGAAGTGCTTATCTTTAGTGAGGTAAGTTGTGTTGGGTATTTTAGTGTAAGAGTTAATTGCTTTGTATTTCGCTGTCCCTTATATACTTTATATGAACAGGTATTCAAGAACTACTTTGGCGAAGATGAGAAATTTGGTTCTGTTTTTCCACAGGCTTTTCCACTATCTTTCATTGAGCATCTTAAGGTAATAGAAATGAGTAATTTTAAAGGGGAAGAACATGAATTCAAGCTGGCGGAATATTTTTTGAAGAATGGAAAATCTCTGAAGAAGATCGCTCTTGAAAGAGAGGGTTGGAAGTCCGTACCAGAATATTGCAATAGGATCCTCTCATTCAAGAAGTGTTCAGAGGATTGTCAGATTGTATTCAGAAAGAAATGGGATTATATAATGTGCCCGCAATTACGACAGCTGATGAATCTATCTCCTTAACAGTATTCTTCACGGCAAACTGATAAGCTATAATTCAGTTGCAGACTTAAGAAATTTTGGCTTCACGGATATAACATCTTGGCGCCAAATTTTTTGTGTAATAGGATTCTGTTCTAAGATTTTGTATTAATGCACCAGGGAATTGAATTACAGCTAGCTAGATATCCAGCCCTTATGAATACCTTCAGTTTAGAAGTTTTCTGAATTAGCCAATCACTCTATTTTTCTTTTTTAATTTGATTTTGATGAGCCCTGGCTGTAGAAATGTCAGCAAGTTTTCAAGAGAATGCTAGTTTCTCTTTCAGGTTTTTCTCAGTGAAGACCTGATTAATTGCTCAACAATTGCTTGCGTAGATCTGAGTATGGTTAAAAGTGTGATTGGGACCTTACATGGCTGCAATTGCTGGTTCTCACCTGATTAATTGTTCAACAATTGCTTGAATAGATCTGAAGTGGTTAAACATGTGATTGGGATCTTATATGACTGCAATTGCTTGTGCTCTTTGGCTGAAGTGCTTTTTACATTGTTAATTCCTTAACTAGAAGTTTTGGTTTTTGGGATATGATAGTTAGGGACAAATAGTGGTATGGCAATATGGTGAAAGATATTATATAGCACTTGCAAAATGAACAATGGTTAGGACATATATGTCTATTTACCTACACTTCGAGATTTTCAGTCAGCAAGCGTGCATTTCTTCCTTTTACTTTGGCTTCATTAATGTGAAGCTTCTCATTCAAGTATTGAACTTTATACTTGTACCTCTATTGTTGTAGTTCTTCTTTTAATCTGTATGAAGGTACTCCATTACTCTTAAGTTACTAACTTTCAAAATTTATTGACCACTCCGTTCCTTGAAACTTCTTTTTATTATCTTTTTATACATGCCTTTTTTGTCGAAGATGTTCCCAGGCTCTCTTCATGCAACTTTTAAGCTTGAAGTGCATATCTTTCATCCACTGCCTTAAGATTATCTGTTTGGATGTAGATTTATTTTCAGCATCTTTTCCACTTCTAATTGTATTAATGGGGTAGGTGTATAGGAACAACTTCAGAGGGATCGAAGAGTTTGAGTTTGTACTTCCAAAGGCTATTTCAATAAGCTTCTCTAAACATCATAGGACAGTAGACATCACAGGATTGGAGTTCAAGCTGGTTGATTTTGTTGAAAAGTTTGAAACTTTTTGACCCAAGATGACTTTTGGTGAAGCTGTAGAGACTTTGTAAGTCTCCATCAGAAATGTTACTGCAGGATATCGTCGTTCCGCATGCGATGGGGTTTTTCTTTCATTTTCTTTTTAGGGTGAGGGAGGGGGTGGTTCTTGTTCTATTGCAACTGGTATGGCTTGGCTGGTCAAATGGCTTACTTATTAACATTTCTATGAGGTTTATGGCTCTTGACATTCTACATTATGACCCATTTTATATTGGCCTTTCTTTGTGAAGACCGGATTAGTCGTCAGTTGTACATGTATGAAGTTCTACCTGAATCTGTATGTGTTGTGCTATTATTGATTTTGTTAATGGGTTATCAAGTGGTGCATCTGTGCATCTGTTAAAAGCAGAAATTAGGATATTATTTATCAAAATTTGAAATGTGTGTGTATGTGGGTAGTTTTTGTAGATAGGACATGGTGAAAGAATAATGTAAAGAAAGCACCACTGACATGTTGCAATGTTCAAAATCCTATCAGCTTTCTCGGTCTAAGAGTGGCTCTACATATCAGGTTTTTAGCGCTATCCTACAAATTTTAACAGCAGTTTCTATATCTTAATGTTCTTTACAGCGGTATCTCAGTTGATAGCAGACATAGATTCACAGATTTTCTGGTTTATAGATGTGCAGTGGATGTGATGTAAAACGTTTAAATGATTATGTTGAAAGATTGTACTAATGCTCCAGGGAAAAGAATAGCTTCTTTAACGTGTCAGTTTGGAAAGGAGGTTTTTACATTTTACTTTTATGTTTCTACTGTTAGTCAATTGGTTTGCTAGTATAAAGTTTTTGTTTTCAAGTAATCTGTAGTCTTTTGTCAGAATGTTGAAAAGAAATCTAAAAAAGTTTGCACTAATTCCAGAACTACAACATGCTGCTTTGACAAGATACAGGAATAGCAAGATATTGTTGGAAACAAGGTAACCCAGTAAACAGATAAGCCAACTTGCTGCTTAATTTGGACTCTTCTTGTAGATTTATCCAGGAAAAAGTGCACCAGCAGATGCTAAAGGAACAAGTTCAGGACTTCATTAAACTGCTGAGTACCTTCAGGTGGATCATATATGTTTTTACTCTCTCGAAACGTGGTGTGGTTGCCCATTTTAAATTCTGTAATTGGCTTTTAGCAAGCCTTTTGTAGCTGGTATTCATATCTACTCTGATCCTCCATGTATTGCCCTGGTAAAATTGCGGTGGCTTACTTAAATTTTACAACTTTTTCTTTCATGAACTTTGACCTATAGCCTAAAGGGCCCTTTAATTGGAAGGATTTAGGGGAAAAAGCAGAGATTTAAAAAAAAAGTGTCAAATTGGCTGTTGGAAAATTTCCACAGGTTAAGGTTTTCAGAGTTTTAGAAAATTGAAGGAGATAAGATTTTTGTGCTTTTAGAATGTTATGTTTTTGATTAATCAAATTCTTTTATTTTCTTTTTCTTTCATTTCTTTGGTATCTAGTGGTAGTTAGTAACACCATTAGTTTCTAGTTCGTTTAGCGAACGAGTTTTTAGATGAGTCGTTGTCTATTACATTGTCGTGCTTCTTTGCCCACGTCTATGGTTTACTCTGTTGTCAAGTACTCCGTTCTTTAGACACGAATTTTATCATAGGAGCTGTAAAAAATTCAATATTGTTGAAATTCAGGATCCTTTGGATTAAGTTCTTAAGGTTCAAAATCATGCAATCTTTTACACTGAAATCAGTATCGTTCGGGGATCCGAATATCATGTTCAAATTTTTTCTCTGTGAGATTTGATACTAAATCTTATGTTAGCAATAGCAGTAAAACTGAAAATCCCAGCATTCCACTGTTCTGATATATCAAATCCCTTCTTTTCAGAAATCCTGTGAACTCCTTGAGTCTTTATTTGCGGTCAAAAGTATTTTTGTTCTTTTTATGTCCATTAGGGAACAGAGGTTGGAGCATTCTTTTTCACTTTAACTTTGTACAGTAGCCTCAGAATTTGAGAGTTACTTTGAAGACATTCTGATTTTGTGTTACTTGCTTAGTTTTGCTTGGAGAGGCCTTCTAGTGTTTGAATGACTCTTTGACTGCCAGATCATCACTAGCTTATTATGACTGCAGCAATTTAGTCTGTTTCTTTGAGTATTAGAGTGTTTGTTATTTGGGGTGTATAGATGCAAGTTACCATGGATGTTGTCAATGGCTGATTCCTTTGGCAGTCACGAAGTAACTACATCACCTGTGCTGAATTTATTTTATTTTATTTTATGAATTAGTTGTTTTTTGCAGGGTCAGTATTTAAGTTTAACGAAGTTAAAGTGCCTCAAGTTCCTAGTCTGTGTAATGAAGACCAGGCTCAGGAAGAGACGTGGAACTCAGGAAGTAAAAGTTGATAAGGGAACAGAGAAACCATCAGGGAGCAATATGGATGTCGTTGCTTTGAAGGAAGATGTCAACAGTCAAGATGAGAGCATTGTCATCGAGGGAAAGGCTACCTCAGAGCCAAGTGAGCAGCAAGTGCGTTACACGGTCCAGGGAAATGAAGAAGCTGAAATGCCAAATGTCACTGGAGAGGGACAGCATCTTAATGTTACAAAGGAGCTGAAAAAGAGAAAGCGCAGTGCAGATGTCGAATTTGCTATCGCATCTCCTACTGACAAATGTTCATCCAGGCTTCGCCCAAGGAAGGAGGTACCTTCACTCCAGACGGTGGATTTGAATGAGAATGACATTGAAAGGATTGTGGGGATGAGAGAATAAAGGTTTACTGGCCAGATTCGCAAAAATGGTTTGCAGTAAGAATTAAATCCTTCAATAGGGAGAAGATGCTTCATACTGTAAACAATGATGATGGTGACGTAGAAGAGTTGCAGTTGAAGAAAGAGAAATTTGAACTTGAGGTCAAGCCTAAGGATGGTTTTCACATAAAAGCAGAACTTCACTCTAGAAAAAGGAAGAAGGATCTCAGTGGTGATGTGGTTGGGAAAACAAGTATTAGCCAAGAGTATGTTAAGGCCAAGGATAATGCAAATATAGAAGGAGAAAGCAAAAAGGATCTCGGTGGAGATGTGGTTGCCAATGTGAGTTTTAGCCAGGAGTATGCTAAGGTCAAGGATGAAGCAGAGATAGAAGGAGAAAGCAAGAAGTATCTCAGTGGTGATGTGGTTGCTAACTGGATTTATAACCAAAAGTATGATAAGGTGAAAAATAATAGCGAGATAGAAGGAGAAAAATAATAGCGAGACAGAACGAGAAAGGAAGAATGATCTCGGTGGCGATGTGGTTTCCAACACAAGTTTTAGCCAGGAGTATGATAATGTCAAGCATAATTCAGAGATAGGAGGAGAGGGTCCTAAAACTGCTGTATCAAAGGAAGATGTGGAATCTAATCCAGGGGAACAACAACCAGCTGATAACAACAGTGAGAGAGATGAGAATCAGGTAGGTTCTGCAAGGCAAAATGCCAGGTTCACTGATGTAGATGGAAGCAGAAAGCGTTGAGTTGCCAGGAACAGACGCAAGTGACCACTAAATTATTGCTGAAACTAACTGAAAGAGGTTGAACACCATTTCTAGCAAGTAAGCCTGCTTCTGAAAATTTTGTCTTTACTCTTAAAGGATGCCCTTGCATGGTGGTTCTCATCCTGCTCTTTTCATTGCTTTATATTCATGCATTCAGTAAGTAATTTTACATGTAACAATTATGCACATAACACTTGTCCATTGATATCTAAAAATAGCTGGGGACTGTTTGGGTTTTTGTCTCTGTCCTGGACCCATGATGCTCAATTAATACTGATGAACAATTTTTAATTGTCATATAAATGTGTCTGTGTTTTGACAGACTTTTTGTTTTGCATTTCCTGTGGTATGAAAGAGAAATGTCCATCCTTTCTCTAATAATAGATGGGAATTGAATCGTGCTATGCTTGAGATGGGTAAAAACTGCTAAATGAGGAAACTTACCGGGAGAGTGAAAGCTGAAACATTAGGTGACTACCATCCTTATGAATCATTTTTGTCATCCTAAGATGTGTCCTTGTCCTAGCAGACTTGAGTGTTTGACAGATTGGCTGAACTATCAGCAGGAATTAGAGAACAATTACCATGGCTGCCTCTTCCTACTATTTCAGGTGAAAGAAAGACTAATTAATTAAATTATAATTATTCCTGCCATCAGAATAGATGTAATCACCTGTGATTTTGTCATCACGGAATCCTCGGCCCAATTTTTGCTCAAACAGATAGGCTGTAGCAGTTGTGCTTTGTACTGCCTTCAACTGAATCTAGAAAATGGAGTTTTTCCCTTGGTTGGACCCTGATTGCTCAGACCGCTATTGGATCCTTCATCCTTATGAAGTGTCTATAACCAACTGTCTGTTTCACCCATTACCATAGCTAGGTTGATCAGCAAGACACAATGGTACATTCATGTGCACCAACAAGAGATTTGATTAGTTTGATTTGTATGGTTCTGTAATTTTAAGTGAAAATTTCACATGGAAATAGTATCTAAAGAATGCTGAAGGGCCAGAGCAAAGTGAAAGAATTCTGGCAAGGTTTTGTCAACAAATAAGAAGAGTGAACTGACAAGCTTAATATAGAAATTAAGAAAAGAAATGGAGATGCAAAACGCCGTCGGATTGTTGATGCTTCTTTCTGGATCCTTTTGCTGTCAATGACTAATGTAAGAGCCGGAGTCATCAACCAACTAATGCTGCGACTTCCAAAAATAAAATTTGCATTGTGTTTCCAATCTACGCAGAAAAGGAACCAAGGATATTAATGTAACCAACTCTGGAAAATGCTACAGTAATTCAGGAAGTATAATAAACACTTGTCTATACACGAGTAGAGATACAATTTGTAAAGCCAAAAGTGAAAAAAGAATAAAGTTCGTCAAGGCTAGCACACACAACATATTACAATGAAATTGTTGCCTATTTGTGGAACTATCCGCTCAATAACACGTTTCAGCTTGTCTATCTGGATCAAAGGTTGTAAGTGTGGGAAATAAGAAAGAGCCTTTATAATATCTGTTCTCAACATGTCCGTTTCCTCATAAAGAACTTCTATGATACAAATTTGGAAACTACCAAGAGAATTACATTTGTCTAAGGATAGCAAGCTTGTAGTTTTCATGTAAAATATCAAGTTGACCGATCAAAAAGGAATTTGGGCTGCCAAGATCAAGTAGTTCTGACAAAGAAAACTGGTGAAATAAAAGCTGCATCATGACCCATTTACCAAATGAAATGCATGAACTATATTGGCTTGCCTGATTCCTGGTCAGAAGTGAACATGTAATCGGAACGATGTTAGTTGAACATCACTTCCTATTTGTCTTTACCTGTGCCGGCCCCTCTTCCTGGGTTTTTCCTCCCCCTTCTTAATTATGCCATTTTTTCTTTTTTTGGTTGAGATTGAGGAATAAGACCAGTATTTGCATTTTCAAGGTCCCTATTCTTAATAGACACCAAAACTGTTCTGACTTGTGATTCTTAACATAGTTTATTCTTTACACTTTCATGCGTGTTTTATCATGTTACTATAGAATTCAAATGCATTTGAAACAAGATTTTGATTAGGTTAGTAGCCCTTCACAATTTTTCTCACCCTCTATTGGCTGGAAGTTTCATAAATGTTTTCAATAATTTGTATTCCTATAGCAGCATTAAATAGAATTTATTCGGTAATCTGATAGAGTCCACGAACAACTACTTAGCTGAAAGAAAGTTTTCCGTTTGTGATGAGCCTAGGGAACTGCAAGTTTAGAACTTAGGTTGCAGGACCCAATGTGCTCCACAATGGCTTCAAATCTATCAGGAAATCTTTGAAGTATCTTGCGAGGAAAGAAAAGAAAAGGATTGTCATTGTAAATTTTACTGGTCCACTGATACAAAGTCATCTATGGTGTGATAAATAATCAAGATTACTTTTGACTTCTTCACTGATTTTATGGGGATTCCACTGCATTCTTTTTAATTCTCTGTTTCGCTGATTTTATGGTGAGTCCACTGCATTTTTAATTTTCTGTTTGCAGAAGAATATCTCACACGACATGGAGAAGCCCCTCTACTAGACTTTTTACTTCTGGTCCCTACAGAATGCCATCCACCAGAATCCTGAATGTTGGAAGGATGATATGCGACATAGTCGAGTCCTTTTGCTTTTTGTCTGGAAACCAGATGAAGTGCATGGTTATATCATTTTGAAAGAAACCTTAGGATTAACTTGTTTATGAAGTAGACCAATTCCGCAAGTATCTACCTGTTTACCTGTTTATGTTGTGAATCTCCTTTGAAGTATGAACTATGTATAGTTATATTTTGTGTATGAATCTACATTATTCTTTCAAGTTAATACTTGTGTTGATCTCTTCTATGTATCTGATACATTTAGTTTCATAGTATACATAGAAGACCAACGTAACTAAACTGCATTATATAATTGGAAGGCAGTGAAACTTTTGGTTGATATACAGAAATACCTGAACAAAGTTCTGAATTGTCTGTAAGAAATGTGCTCCCTCTGCACTTTCCATTTTATCAGCAGTAGAAAAAAATCATCATAACTATTTTGACTAGAGGATATGGTTGTCACAGTTGTAGAGCGATTTGGACTTTATATTGTTTTAGGTCCAATTATCAAATACCAAGTTGCTTTAATATGTATAGTCCTCTATTACACACAAAAAAAACCCAAAAAATAAAATATTATGTCTAGCTTTAGGCCCAATTATCAAATACCAAGTTGCTTTGATGTGTATTGTCTTTTATTACAAAAAAAAAAAAAATCAAAAAAAATCAAATACCAAGTTTGGATGTTCAAAATGGGTAGTAGAAAAGTTACCATTACTGTGGAAAAAAAGGTAGCACTAAAAGAGTGGTTGAGTGGTAGTAAGAAAAAAAGGGGTAGCAGTAAACTCCTCTTGATTCTACTTTTGTTTTTTTGGTAATTATTTCATTTGTAATTCCTTTTGTCATCTCTATTTGTATCAAATACTATAAACAAAAAGGATATAGCCAATTGTAGTAATAATTTTTTTTAATTTTAAAACATAATAAACAAAAAGGATATAGCCAATTGTAGTAATAAATTTTTTTATTTTAAAACATAATATTAACATATTGTCAACTAACAACTGACAACATCATACAAATGCACAAATAATGGTTGCAATCACACCAATACTAATACACTGGATCTGTAGATGGATGACTGATTACCTAGTTCTCGTGTTGTAACCCTCCAATCAAAAGAGGAAAAGAATGCACAAATAGTGGGATGAAAACTTTAATAATTGTGAGACTTAAAATCAAGATCTCTTACTCTTGGCACCTCAAATTTTGTAAATTAGCATCAGATTAAGGCCTAACTGGAAGCTTATACAGAAATTAGCTTTAGATACATATATAGTCTATTCATTTGAATAGTGTATAATTTTGACAAATTCACAATGAAATTGTACTATATTTTAAAATGTTATAAAATATGTTTCTTACACTCACTCATCATAGTGAAGGAATAACTCATAATTGCCTCCTTGTAAAGCAAAAAGATAATTTTAATGAACGAAAAAGAAATAAATTTCAATAATTTGGTGAAGGTAAATATATTATTCGGTGTAGAATCTTCTAAGTAACGAATAACAAAAGCAAGCTGAAAACATCAAATTGTAAGTCTAATTGCATATAAAATGAAACTGAAGTGCAAAAAAAAAAAAAAAAAAAAAAATAGCATCAAAACTTCGAAACAAGCTCAACAAGTAAAAATATATTTTTTGCACTTTTTCCGTGAAAGATATTTTCTTAGTGTTTAATCCTATTGTATTATCTCCTTCTAGAATTTCAATACAAAATTTCTTTAGCTTTTCTTCAATCACCTATTCCAAAATTCTATACTTCCTATACCCAAAAAAAAAAACCCACAATTATATTCCTCACTATGTCTTGCATTATTGCAAAAGCACTGTAGTTTTCACTTAACAATAGACTAACTAATTTATTAATTTTGATATACATGCTTACAGGTTTACAACAATAGGAAAACTAAGCCTAATTTCCAACTTTGCAAATTCGTGAAGATTACCGTTAAGTAAACTTATAATTTAAAATTTTGATTAATGAGATTACTACCTCGAAAAAAAAATTATGTGTACCATGTGTTCCACGTGACAATATGCGAGTATCAATCAAAATAAAGTATTGTGGTGCCAATTACAAATTATGGTGATCGGTACTGATACATCAATTACCAATTATGGTGCTTGATACTAATACACCAAGGGCTGCGCGTAATTCATCCAATATCTTCTCTTACTATTATTATCCATTTATCCCTTTAATTCTAATTTTATTTGCCATTGTGTCATTTAATTTTTTTCCGTTTCCCTTTTTTTTCTATTATCCGTTTGCATTTGAAAGATGAGAACCATTGCTGAAGTTGATAACTTTGGCAATAAAATAGTAATAGACTATATTAAATTTAATCTTAGTACTAATACTTACTATAAACCCACCACTACCCTTCTCGGTCTTGGCCTTAGGTGACCATTTTGCAGAGTGGAAGTTTCAGTTTCCCCGAAACTTTCCACTATCTTCTGCAAAGATTAGGAAGCCACCTTCTGCAATCCTCGATTCAACACTGTCTTCCGATTTTTTTCCACCAAAAGGCCAGCTTTTTTGTAAAAGTCCCATCTGATTGAATGCATAGTAGTGTCAATGTGATGTGGAAAATGGATCCACTGGGGTCTTTGAACCCGAAGTTCTAAAGGGTTTTCAGAAGCCTCGTGATTGGAGTTGGATGTAGTATAATAGATGTAAATGTAGGAATTTGAGGATGGATTTACACATGTAGGACTTTGCAGAAGTTCAACTAAGGGATGCCATATTTTAGATGCATGCCATTCATTTTTTGATGATCATACTAAACAAAAAAAGTATAGAAAATAATCAACACGTTATACTATTTCCTTCTTTCACATGCAGGCCAAATCCTTTACATGAATTTCTTTGTGAGCTTGATTTGTAGCGTTTATTTTTAGTGTTGGAATTATTAGGCAGATTCCGATTTGTGTACCTTTCCTGGACTGTTTTATGGTTTGTGTATTTAGGTGGTTTATTAATTGATCCTGCATATAAACTATTTTTGTTCAGCCTTTGGTTTTGGAGGGATCTTATAGAAAAGTTTTATTCATTGCGATAAGGACGAAGTGTTTCTTATCGAATAATATGCAGGCCGAGGAGACGAGTCAAGAAAATGAATATCCCTCTCTCTCTGAAATGGTAAACGTGTTCGAGATATTGTATGGGTACTAGACAACATAATGTAAGAGCTACTTTGTCAATTCATTATTACTTCTGTGAGAGCTGAATGCTCAACAGGATCCTCGTTTCAATACATGTAAATCTTCAAAGCGTTTGCTAAAAACAAGTCTAAGAGCCTTGTTTTAACAGATAATCCTCAAGCCGTTTTATAAAAGCAAGTATTGCTTTTGCAGTTTCCTCTGGCATGCTAGTTTCTTCTGCTTCAGTTTCGTATAGAACCTTAACATCCACACCAGTCTCTGATTCTCCAACTGCATTAAATTGTATAACAGTTGTGTAAGAAGTGAATCCATGATTCAGGTGTCCCCCTTCGATCACTTGCATCCCAATCTGATGCAGGGACTCGTTGAATACTGTAACTTTCTCCTTCTGGTATCCGAGACTTGATTTCTCTGAAAGCATTAGTTTAAAATTGCAGCGTCAAGATGGTCAGATGGTAGGCTAAAAACTAATTAGTACTGTATGAATGAAAAAAAAATAGCACAGGGCAGGAAATACTGGTTGAAATGTCCAACTGAAGTTGGAAGCTGGAACTCACCAGAGCCAAGGTCGATCAGATAAACAGTACCAAGGCCACCATCTCCTTCAATAACTTCAACACTACGCACTAAATTGGGAGCAAGTTTTGGAAGGATAAAGCTTATTTCTTTTGCATAATTCCTCCATAGCACTTCAATTGCGACCCCAACCTTCATTTGGCTCTTTACTTCCTTCATCATTGCTCCTCTTTAGTTGAGTACAGTTAAAATTGATCGTTGGTATACAATAAGTACAAATTTATACTATTAGCTTGGAGGGACAAAATGACACTACGGCATCTGTAGTTGTATGGACAAATATGGAAACAAGATGCCTAGGCTCCACTCTGATGTACATATATGTATTTATTGTGAATGATTCTAAAATGTACATACATTATGTATATTCATTCCTGAATATATTCATGCATGTGGAAATCCTTGAATGTAAGGATAGATTCATGTCTTTGATTTTAAGATCATGAGATGCATGAATTAAAGTGCATGAATTTGTACATAATACCATGAATCTATTCATACAAGTATTTAATAAGTTCTTTTGTTTTTTAAACAATTTATCCTATATAAAGAGGTCAAGTAAAGAGTGATTTGTTGTAGAAAATCACTTTCCTACTATTTCGAATTTTCTCAAAAAACACTCCTTAGTTCAAGAAGGTTTGTCTTACTTTGTGATAGATTGCAATTTTGTCATTTATTTTACAATTAATTCCCTCCTATGATCTTACCAAATGTGCATTATTGGGCAGATTTTATTCACTTTTGAGAATTTGTGTTGATTGCAGGGATTTGGAGTCAAATATGGCAAAAAGGCACAATTTCCTTGCTATGCTTGCTAATTGAACTGGGACATCCAAAGCTGCAGAGTGAGATTAATTCCTGTGGCAATTAGTGGAGGAATTTAAGTAGCAGTAGGAAATAGGAGCCTAATCTTGATTTTGTTTCCTTATTTGTTAGGCGGGGTGCGGCAGAAGAGGAATCCTATTAGGACTCCTCTTAACTTATTTTGCTAGATAGTTTCTCGGTGGAAAAAGGAGATTAGGCAGACTAGGAGCCATTTTCTTGGGATCCTCCTTTTTCTTTTGTTGGTAGTATTAAAAATAGGGAAATCAATTAAGACTAGGAGACTAGCTTTTGGGTCTTGGACCAATTCCTATCTAGGAATTCTTTTCTTCGTATGTCAGGGAGAGAAGAGAAACAATTAGTTATCTTTTGACTTTGTAATTTGGGACATTATCTTGATTCCATCAAATTGAATCCTCTCAAGGGGAGACAATGGATGTGACAATTTTCTCTACAATTTTGCATGAGTTCTCCTCAACGAGGATGAACTAAATCCCTTTTTCTAGTCAAAGAACAACAGAGGATTTGGTTCAACTTAAATTGTGAGATCTAATCGATTTTAATTTTCCTATTATCTTCTGGTATTTGTATATTTCCTACTTTATTGTCCTATGGTTGTTACATTATTCAATTGTCCCGGACTCGGATGTTAGATTAATTCAATAACCTAGAGTCAATTAGAATAATTAAATCCATAATTGTTTGATTGTTCTAAATTAATGGCAACTGGCACAATCAAGGTTATGGCAGGGAAATATACGGGCTAATTTGTAGACAACCCTCGTAGCGTGTTGTCTGGTTAAAACAGGATTTTTCTAAATTTTAAGACAATTGTAAAATTTAATTCTATGGTCGTACCTAGAATTATTTTGCAATTAGGGTAATAACTAACGGTCTTACCTTAACTATCGATAATTACGGAAAAATTGATTGTTATCGTTTGTTTGACAATTATAACTTGTTTATCAGTTTATATGTGGAATATTCCTGCATCGATGATCAATTAGAAGAACCATTTCTGAATTTGATTCTTGACTAGAGTTGTCTAATACTGTTTGAGTTTTTACCTCATTGCTATTTAATTCTTATTAGACTACAACATATGATTAGTATAGCTCATTGTTAATTTCCCTAAAATCCTCCCATAACTTGAACTTTAGAAGAAACGAATTCTTCTCAGTCCCTGAAGATACGACCCTACTTGTCCTATTTACAAATCAATAATTACTTATGAATAAACAATCTCATTCTGGTATATCGAATCAAGCAAATTCTTTGAGAACAAGGTGAATCAAGTAACCCATTGCACACCTAAAATCCCTGTTCTAGTACTTAGAATCGGGTTTTGATTACTTTAATTGGCAACTAGGTTTATTTTTATTATTGCACAGACATCGACAACCTGTCACTTTGTGCAAGAATCTAAAACAAACAAATTTCATTTTATCGTAAAGGATATTTGTCCAAGATTATTACATATTATACATGAAAAATAAAGCCTAAAGAAAAGTGATATTCTATCATGATTTGAAGCCAATTCTTGTCACGATATTTGCCAATTTGTTATAATATTCCCAACAATCTTTAGGCTTTATCTTGTACTCTACAATAGCAGATATCTTGAAAGAGTTGGCATCCAACATTATCATACTCAAGAGGTTTGATAGAGAAAATTTCATTTGATGGCAAAAACGTGTTCATTTTTTTCTCACTGCACTCTAAGTGGTCTATGTTTTGACCACACCAAAACCATTGATCATCAATACCGAAGAAGAAACTCTTGAAGACATTCGAAAACGTCAAAAATGAGAGAACGCTGATGAAATATATCGTGGTCACATTCTCAATATCATGAGTGACAGCCTATTTGATGTCTACCATTCAATTATTACCGCAAAGGAATTTTGGGATCGTTTGGAGTTCAAGAACATGTAAGAATATACAAGTAAGAAGTTTCTTGTATCACCTTTTAATAATTATAAAATGGAAGCTAATAGGTCTGTTATGGAGCAATTTAGTGAAATTGAAAGGTTTTTTAATCACTTCACACAACATAATCTGCACATGGATGAACTCATTATTGTTTGCTCTATAATAGATAAATTACCATATTCTTAGAAAGATTTCGAAAGAGATCTCAAACATAAAAAAGAGAATATCTCTCTTGAGATTCTTAATAATCTCTTCGAGTAGATGAGGAAATTTGCATACAAGAAAAGAAAAATACTCAAATTCTTGAAAAAAACAAAGATTCTACTTCAAAAGTGCATGTGATTGAAAAGGGACAAACTAAGAAGTCTCAAGGAAGCAAGAACGGCGAACAACCCAAGAACTGATCCAAGAAAAGGAAGAAGGGACAATGCTTCTATTGCAAGAAAGAGGAACAATACAAATTCGAGTGCAATTATCTCCGAAATCAATATGATTGAAGATGATTTAACTTGGTGGGTTGATTCTGGAGCTACGTGACACGTGTGCAACAATAAAATGTTCTTCAACTCCATGAAACCGGTAGATGAAAGTACCGTTGTTTACACGAAAAATTCTACTACAATTCTAGTTCAAGGCATTAGAGAAGTAGAATTAAAATATACTTCCGGCAATGTTGTAACTTTGACAAATATGTTATATGTACCAAAAATTAGGAAGAACTTGGTGTCGGTTAATTTGTTAAATAAATTTGATTTTAAACTCGTATTTGAGACTGATAAATTTATTTTGTCTAAGGGTGGTATGTTTGTAGGTAAAGGTTATCATTGCAATGGAATGTTTAAATTGAATGTACTTGCTATTAGAAATAATAAGATTGATATTATTTTTGTGTATTTGGTTGAGTCTTCTTTTGGATTGTGGTATAATAGGATTGGCCATGTTAATTATAAAAGAATGCATGGAATGATAAGACTTGATTTGCAGCCATATTGTGATAAAATTGAAGGAAAATGCAAAACATGCATGCTAATGAAAATCACAAGAAATTCATTTCCTAAAGTTGAAAGATCATTTAAAATCTTGGATCTTATTCATAGCGATATGTGTGGCATTGCTACTTTGGGTGGTAAAAAATATTTTTTGACTTTTATTGATGATTATACTAGATATTGTCATGTTTACTTGTTACACTCAAAAAATGAAATAATGCAAAAATTTAGGACATACAAATCTGAAGTTGAACTTCATTGTGAAGCCTTTATCAAATGTCTAAGAACAGATAGAGGTAAAGAATATTATGATATTACCTATTTTGAATCTATTGGGATAAAACATGAGGTGACTACTCTTTATACACCACAACAAAATAGTGTAACCGAAAAGAAAAATCATGTATTGACGGCAATGATTAATGCACTTTTGTTAAAGTTTGGACAAAGTCAAAAATTTTGGGGTGAAACCTTATTAACGGCTTATTATATCCTAAATAGAATTCCTAATAAAAGGAGTTCTATAACCCTTATGAATTTTGGAATAAAAAGAAGCCGAACCTAAACTATTTGAGAGTTTGGGGTTGTCGAGCTGTTGTAAAACTCCTATAACTTAAGAAAAGGAAATTGAGAGAAAGAGGTATAGAGTGTATATTTTTAGGATATGCACAGAATAGCAAAGTATATAGGCTCATGGTAATTGAACCTAATGATTCAATTTCGGTTAATACTATAATTGAATCTAGGGATGCTATTTTTGAAGAAAATAGGTTCACCTCTATAAAAGATGTTACTCCAAAAGCAATAAACTGATAAAAGATGGTGAAATGAATCTATTGAATTGAGAAGGAGCAAAAGAGCTAGAAAGTCAAAAAACTTTGGTTCGGACTTCTATATGTATCTAGTTGAAGGAACTAAAAATACAGTGAGCAATCAAATTCCATATTGCTTCAATACTGAGGCTAATTCCAAGACCTATGAAGAAACAATGAAATCACAAGATGCTCCTTTTTGGAAGGAATCTATAAATGATGAGATTGACTCGATTATGGGTAATAAAACCTAGAAATTAGTAGACTTACCACCTGGTTCAAAATCAATTGCTTGTAAGTGGATCTTCAAGAAGAAAATGAAAATTGATGGAACTATTGATAAGTTCAAAATCAGATTGATTGCCAAAGGATTTACACAAAAGCATGGTGTGGACTATTTTGACACATATTCTCCAATAGCAAAAATTGCTACAATTGGAGTACTAATTATAACTTCTATCCAAAATCTAGGGCTTGTTTGGAAGTCCAAGTTTTTACCAAGTTATTATTATACTAGTTTTTTAACAACTTGTGCTACAGGAACCCCAAAAACTTATCAAAATTTTTTAACCTACACACTTAAAATATCCAAAACACAAAAAAAAAACTCCCTTCTCCTTTTCTTCTTCTTCCTCCCCCACCACTACCTCCGTCAACTGCTTTGTCACCACCTGATCTTTCCGATGTCGATTTTTT